GGAAGCTGAATATGTGGCAGCAGCAGAAGCGGCAAAGGAAACTATTTGGTTGGATAGGCTTATCATGGAAATGAGATTGAAGCAGGGTGTGGTTAATTTTGATTGTGATAGCCCGCGGGCTTTACATTTGGCCGCAAACCAGGTCATGAATAGCAAAGTGAAGCACATCGACTTCAGGTATCATTTTATCAGACAAGTAGTGTATGATAAAACGATTGAGGTAGTCAAGATCGACGATAAACTCAATCCAGCTAATGCTTTGACCAAAGTTATTTCTTTAGAGACCCTTTCACGCAACATTTTGCTTCCATGCAGGTTGTGCATGGGGAGCACATGTAGAATTTGCTAGCATAGTAACTTCAGTTATTTCATTATATATTTATTTTATCATGTGATGGCTACGGTTTAGCTCTAATTAACTCTTGTGTAAAGAGGTAGCTTGTATTAAGTTTCTTTCTAGAACTTCCCAAGAGTAATTATATAGATTACGAGATCTTTGATACTTCTATGCAAGCAGGTTTACTATTTAACTCTTTATGTTATCACTCTATCATGTTATGGCTACGGTCTAGTTCTAGTTAAATCTCGTGTAAAGAGTGGCTTTGTGTTAGGTTTCTGTCTAGAACTTCCCGTTGAATAATAATATAGGTTACAAAGGTTATTGTTTATTTAACACAAGTTAAGGGGAAGATTATTAAGGTTAACTTCGGTTAAGAAGTAACCTCAGGTTATAGCTATAAATAGCTAGGTGTGTCGTTGGCTTTGGGTATAAGTATACCCCCAAGGCTTCTACTCGTTCCTTCTCTTTGTGTATTCAGTTCTCAGTAAACCTGCTTGGTGTTCCAGCCGTGTACGTAACCTTTGAGTGTGAACCATGTTATATGAATATCTTGTGTCTTTTTTTGTACTTGGCTTGAATGATTCTTGGTGTTACGCTAACAACTTCCACCATATTAATAAAAGTTTTTTTATAGCTTTTGTATTTGTGCTGTAAACCCTAAATCAACTGTTACAGGAGCCTTAAATACAAAAATTTGTAAATTTTTTTTAATATATAACACTTTATACATGTTAAATATTTGATCATTTATTTTGAAAATAAATATTCCAAAAATTGAAATACATATAATAATTTATTTTAAAAATTATACATTTTTTATTTATTCAATAATAATATTTTATTGAAAAATCACAAAATATTCAATTTATTTGAATAAATAAATTTTTCACTTGTTTGTTCCAAATAATTCACATATGGCTGTGAAAAACTTTAAAACAATGTCATGATTTTGTTAATCTAACTAAGGATATATATTCAAGATGTAAATAAATGTATATAGACAAAATTATTCAAAATTTTCAAAAAATTAATATTATGTGCATGAGTCTAAAAATAAATTAATAATTTAAGTAAAGTATTGAAATGTCACTTGATGATAATCATATTGGAGGTACCTTCCAATATCATCGTTGTCAAGTGACATTTCAATACCTTACTTAAATACTAAAAAATACAAATGTAGGTCAAAGACAGATGAAATAGATGCAAACATGAAGTACACAATAGACATAAGCTATACTTGGTTCACCTAAATGAGGTTAATTCCATAAAAAGGTAAGTTAAAGACATTAGTTACTATCAAGAGTTAACTTTTAATACATAAGACTGACTATGATATATTACACATTGCTTTTATGTTCAAATGAGTAAAAGTGAAACATAGGAGAAGTAATTTCATGTTATTTCGTAATTTAGCAACTTGATATCTTTAAAAGAGAAAGAGAATGATTGCTTTTGATCACGACCTAAACTTGCAACAATCAAATACATCCAACAACAATAAGGTCTTAATTACAAGACCTATGATTATTTGCTAGAACATAGGAGAGAAATATTTCACTTTGATTATATGTAAGCTAATTTCTCTATGCCAACATTCTCTTACTTCATTATCTTTGAGTTAACACATTTATTCTAATTGAAATGACTATCACTTGAATCTAAACGAAATAAATATATCATGCAATATATTATTTCACATGTATAGTTATACATGTGAAAATTAACTTAAATTATTTTAAATGTGATCATATGAAAGTTTTCAAGGGTAAAATTGATGGAAGCAGTTAGTTATATCTCATTTAGGGCTTATTAACCATCATCCTACTATACGATCTTACATGATTGATCTTGCCGGGTTATAGCTTTCGTGGGATGAGTAGTAACTTGTCCGGTTTTACTTCTTTCTCATATTTGTAAAAAATGCTTTCGTGGTAGACGCCACATAAAAGCCAAGCCTGCCAGCTCCGCGTGATGTCTGACGCTCTTCAACATTCAATCTCCACTGTGAATGATGTCTCTTGAACATCCGTGCACAATGGAATTATCATGTGAAACGTATGCACAAACTACTAAAAAAAGAAGATTTTTGGACGTTGAGTCTGATTTATGGATGTGACAAAAACTCTTACGGTACTTCAAAGTTTCATTCTATTCGCACACAACGTAACTTGAGCATCGACGTACAACAATGCGTTGAAATGTGCCAAAGGGTTCTTGTTTCCTGATAAAACACTCCATCTTTCTCAAAGTGGTAAAATCAAAACTTAAACCTAATCAACCATAGTGATCGCACAACGTCAATGTAAGTACAAAAGATATCATGCACGACAAGACTTCGTGCAAAATGATGACTTGAACACTATATGAAGTTCACAAGCATTTGTGGAGCTTGGATCTAACTTGTGTGAGGCCAACTTGATTGCCATGCTATGACAAACTCGGTGGTGTGAGGTGGTCATGAACATGGTTAAGACATGCAACCTTGCGTGTCAGACATTGCGTAAAGGTGGCAGTTGTGGCTTTGACAAGACATCTGCCACGAAGTCATCTTTGATGTAGAGGGGAAAGAAAAAAAACCCGCCTAGTTGCTACTCACCTCACGAAAGCTATAATTGGGCAAGACCAATCAAGTAAGAGCATATAGTAGGATGAGGGCTAATTAGCCCTAAGTGAGGGATAATTAAAATTTTGGCTAGATCAACCCCGATCCTAGGCCATCTGACCGTGAAGAACTCATCCGTCGAGCACGCACTCTCTAGATGGCATACAGTCGGGGTTGTTCTAGCCTGCACTATAACTAGCCGCTCCCAAAATTATACCTATCTTTAATGCATATTTCACTTGATACAACTTTTTTTATTGCTTTGATCTATATACTTTATTATAAAAAGAATAAATGAAGCAAAAGAAAATAATAATATCAAATACTTATATTGGATAGCCTTTCATTCACAACATCCAAAATCTAGGATAGAAACACATGTGAGAGAGTGGTAGCGCTAATTTGTTGAGCTCTTTAACAACATCTTGGGGTGATCTTTTTTGTCGCTGAAGTTTTTTGATATTACGAATCATTAAACAATAGCATACGCTAGCGAAAATCTGTTTTATGACGCGCATTTACGGACATCGAGACATAGTGTAAATTAAAGAAAAATGAGTAACTGTATAAACTACATCAATATAGCAGTTAGCATCCACAACATGTACAACGAACGTGCATTCGACAACTAATCACTCTGCTCTTACTCTGTATTAATGCAGTCGAGATAAATTTCTCGGTGTTACAAAGCTCCGGGAGGAGAAGATGCCAGGAGCCCAAAGGTAGGACTGCAGGACAGTCTCACAGCAGGACTGGTTCTAATTTTACAGTAACAGTCTTTCGGTAGTGTGCAGTCGGTAATACCGGTCAACTCCAGGTGGTTCCCCGGCATGTGCCGGAGCAACTGATTCCCGGGAAGAGAAGATCTCGAGATCCAAAAGGGAGGACTGCAGGACAGTTTCAGAGCGTGTCTGGTTCTAGTGGTACAGTAATGGTGTCCCGGTAGTGTGCAGTCGGTAATACCGGTCAGCTCCAAATGGTTCTCCGGCACGTGCCTGTGCAACTGATTACCGAGAAGAGAAGATCTTGGGATCCAAAAGCGGGGACTGCAGAACAGTTTTAGAGCGTGACTGGTTCTAGTGGTACGGTAATGGTCTCCCGGTAAGGATGCTCATGGCTCGGCTAACGGCTAGCCGGCTAATTTTTGTGGTTAGCCGGTTATACAGCAGGCTAGCCGTCGACTTACCGGGTCACCTCGGATAGCGTTCCGGTGACCCGGTAAGCTATCCGAGGCCGGAAACGATCCAAAAACTCGGATCGACTCTGCGTTTTCGGCTGATTCATCCTAAATTCTCAAATCTTTATTTCGGTTGAAATAAGGATTTGATAAAATGCGTTTTCTGTCTATAGCCGATTAGCCCACGGCTAAATTTGAGTTATTAGACTAGGATTGGAATCACAACAAAAGTTTTCAGGGCATATCCATACACCTTTCAAGATCAAAAGGCATGCCCGTATTGCAATACGTACATTTTACCGTATCATAAAATATATGTCTACGGAAATAAAGCACTGAGTAGATCAATCAACACAGAAATGAAAGCTTAAAACCCAGAACAGACTACAGTAGAGCGGAATCTCCAAGTGAAATTACTTTTATATCCTCACTTACCCCAGTCTATTTCTCTAAAATATATGTCTATAACTTTGGAATATATGTATAAACATTTTTATAAGTACATATGTATGAATTTGTTTATACATACAGCATGCCTCATATGGAGAATGCAAATGAGGCATGCCCCCTGCTCTCCCCTTTTTTGCCCCCTTCTGCCTCCAACTCTACACTAGACCTATCGGCTACCCGAAAATTAGCCGGCGACGTGACCATGCCTCTCTCCCGTTATCTTGCAGTCGGTAATACCGGTCAACTCCAGTTGGTTCAGCGGCTTGTGCCGGAGCAAGCGATAGAGGGACTGGCTCGACCAAATTGCTGAGCAGCGGAAGTCCTGCAGTCCTTATCTAATCTTGCGACGCCGGGAACAATGGGACCCGGGGTCTGGACCAATGGCAAGTGCCGGTCCCTTGCTTCTTCAGGAGGTCCGTCCTGCGTCGCTGTCCCGATCGCTCTTGCGCTCGCGCTTCTGTTCCGGAATCTGCAGCGCTGAGTCGAATTCGTTCGCGGAGCGTGGGGCGGATCGAGAGACGACGACGACGACGAAGGGGAGGAGGTAGCAGAGCACGCGAAAGAAAGGGCAGGGCAGTGCTGGGCTGGTCTTGGCTTTCGGGCGAGCAGCTATGGCGTCCGCGCTGGGAACCCCGATGCTGCTGAGAGCGTTTCCAGCAGCGCCATCGCTGCATTGGTCGACCAGCGAGCGCCCTTCGAGTTCTGCTTTGGCGGTGAAATCTCGGACCGGCCTCTCGTTGTCGAATCTCCCATCTGGTTGCAATTTTCTCCCGTCGGTGCTGCCGAACTTTAAACCCTCAGGACGACGGATCGTGGAAGCCAATGCCAAAAAGTCGAAGCAGAAAGCTGCAGCTCCCGTTGAACCTGTGGTTGAAGAGCAGGAAGTGGAGGTGGAAATCTCTTGGGTCGAGGAGAAGGCTGAGGACGCCGTCCAGTATTTGACGTCCGCTGTGAAGGCGGTTCCCGGGCCCAGGGTTGGCGGTGGGGATTTGCCCTGGTTACTTGCTGTGCCCCTTGGTTATGCCGCGATTTCGTTCGTCATAGCTGTCGTGAAGACGGCACGAAAGCTGTCTTCGCCCCGCGAGAAGCGTCGACAGCAGATTGGGAAGAATGCCTGGCTGTGTGAGACATTGAGTGATTACTTGCCTGCGAAGCGGGAGGCGCTGACTCCCAAGGTTTTTGAGGAAATCGCCAAGCAGAGCAAATTTGACGCCGAGGAGGTTATGCGGAAATACATTCGTTATGCATTGAATGAACGACCTTTCAATCCTGAATTGGTGGCGGATCTCATCCACTTGAAGGGAGTGACAGGGCTGGATGATGAAACAGTGGTTGAGGTTTTGAATGAGGTCTCTAGAAGGATAGTGAAGGCCAAGGGGCCGGTGATTATGAAAACAACAGGATTCACAGAGAAAGGCTTGAAGCGAAAAGCTGCTGTCCAAGCTCTATTCAGCAAAATTTTATATTTAGCTGAGCTTGATCAATTCTGCTCTACAGAGAATAGGAGTTCATTGAGCATCAAGGAAATTTTTGGAGTCACTGAAGAGGACGCCAACAACATACGGATAGAATCTTTGTCTGGAACAACTGAATTAGAATCTTTGGAAAAAAGCGTAGGAATAAGCCCAGACGATGAAAAAGAGGAGAAAGACGAGGATGAGTAGAGGCCTACATGTAATAGCCATCTAATATGCTGAGCATAAATTCCGTCTCTCCAGTACCCGAGTTCACTTGGAAAGCAAGGTAAGAAGGATCCTGCCTCCACGCACCTTGCTCAGTGTCTCTGCGGAATTAGTCTAGCTAAATTCATGAAGAGTAAGTGGTCCTGGCAGCTCAAGCACGGAGTGGCTCGGTTTTGATTTGGTGGAGGCTCAAGGGTTTTTCCTTTTGGCCTTCTTGTACCAATATTTATACACGTTTTGTGCGCAATTGAAGCAAATGAATAAATACTAGTGGAAAGAGAGGTCCCTAAGAGCAGTAGGGTTCAAGAGAGTTTGATCTTGTACTTGACCATCACAACTTATACTTTTTGAGTTGTACTTATACTTTAGTGGTTTGGTTGTATGTTGGGATATGTCACTCAGAAGGGGAAAAATTCTGTCACCCTTTAGCTATGGAGACTCAAAGATGAGGATGTTGGGAAGGTCACGCAATGAGTTCCAGTCACTAGTGCTAGGATGCCTTGAAAGGTGGAAAGCTTTGCCCAATTATCCGACTGCAAGCTACTCCTCATTTTAAGTAGCCAGTAGCTCACAGATGGATGCAATTCTCAGCACGAGAATTTCACTTGGCAATGCCTGTCTGCTGTGGTCGTATTCAGGGAAACCAAATCAGTTGAGATTACCCAAACTTGGCTCTCTTGTGCCGTAATTCTCTTGTGGGACACCATGTGTGTTCTTTTTCCTGTAAGATCACAGAGTAACACCTTTGAAGATACTGCGGATCACCTATTCCCCTCGGTCTGTCGTCTAAACAATTATCTATGCCTTATATCAGTACATGGAAATTGGTGAGAAGTCGAGCCTTCGAACAAGTGGTTTGTCGTGGAAACTCTTCAAGTTAATCTACTTGACCAACCGACATGCGAATTTGGTCTTATATCGATCTCTGTATTGAAAAATAATCTGCTTGTATGCAAGCTGCCTGAGTAGGTAGCCTTCATTCAGTTTCATTCAGTTATCAATAAATGTTTCACTTCAATAGCGAACATAGTAACGTAACGTGGTCTCTCTAAGCCATCAATATGATATCATGTTGGTGGATGGGAGCGATACGCAGTTCCATGGCCTCAGTTCCAATATGGAGTCATTGTAATCAGAGCCATATACACTAAATGTCGGTAGGGGTAGGTTGAACTGTAGCATACTGAGGCCCTGCAGGGGCATGTGGATAGTATCTCACTACCGGCTCGCTATAATCAATAGTCTTCGAAAATTCTGTCATTGTTTACAACAAGGTCTCAACGTGAGCTGCATGAAGTGTTTACTTCGTGTTCATGAGTGGCAAAGTCCATCAGCGAAATTGTAGCAAAGTCTGCTGCATTCATGAAGATCTCCAGGCAAACTAGCCCAAACAGAAGTAATCGAGTTTCACTAATGACGAAGACTGAAGTTCGTGAGGTGCATCAAGCAAGGCATTTGGTTTTTCAGTGACACACGACTTTACAGTGGATGGGTATCACTGGTGGCTACATAGACCCTATTCTGACGTCTACAGTGGGAAAATCTCAAGAACTCCTGTGAGAAATTAAAACGAATCTCTCACAGCTACTTCTATACCACAGTACAGTCCAATGGCCAGAAGAGTCTTATGACAACATTGCCGATAAAAGGATGGTGGCTGCTTTTCATTTCCGATCTCCCACTGAAAGACAGCTCCACGTTTGCTGTCCAGTGCTCAAAGAAATGAACTTTCAATAGTTTGCACTGTTCTTCGCCAAAATCTCACGGTCGATTTCTGCCGGACTAGACTTATATACAGCAACAGTCTCGAAAGGTCAGGCGAGGCTCCGGTCCTGAGAGTGCCCTTCCCAACTTCCTGGAGAAACTTCGAGAATGGCCAGCCTTCATATTTCGGCGACCTTGAGAACATGTTGCTTCATTCCCTCTGAACGGGACCCACAATTAATTCCCCGGGAGTCACTGGAATATTTGGCGTCGACGCCAAATCGTATCAACCCTAACGCTCTTCCTTCGAAAGTACACTAACTCATGACAGAAAATTAATTCACCAGCTACGATTGAGGCACATTCTCTTATCTGCCGTCAGTGTCGCTCGGGTTCAGTATCGATTACTGACAACACTCGAGACGCCCTCACACTCTCCTGCTTGGAATTTCTCAACATTGGGATAGTTGCGGGTTTGTCAGCAGAGCAGGTGTGTTCTGGCTCTAATATTTATCAGAATTCGCTGCCTTGGAGTTTCTTCTACTGTCCTCGACTCGATTCAGCTGATCGGTTCAATTGATGGACAAGCTAAATGAAGGATTCCCTTGATTTGATCTGTGGAGTTTCTTCAGCTGCGAGCTATGTGTCCTGAATGATGATACAAGTGTCAGACTTATTTCCTCGTGCTGGGAACAGTGTAAATTAAAAAATGTCGACATTGTCCAGCGTCCTGCATGCCGTGCATGATACAGATGTGATTGATTATCACGCATTGAGATTGAAGCCTACGTTTTCCGAGGAAAATCTCTTGTGTTTGCGCGTAATGAGTCGCACACTTGTATAGTCAAGAGATACCATGTTCTGCATACGAACTCCAGTGCCTCATCCGTGGAGTACTTCTTGACCTGTTTGAATTCACTTTAAGTTTCGCTCTGGCTGATGCGCCTTGACAGATGCTCGAGAGCATTTGGTTTTTTATGAATATGCCCTTGATTACCTCTTTCCTGGAGCTGACAGTATTCATGCCCGATTTGATGCACAGGAAGGTTTTGCTCTGTCCAGTGAGTTAACAGAGACTGATGGAAGCTTGAAGGCGTTATCTTGGACGAGTTCGACTTAGTCGGTGGATCGAGAGGCCAATGAATGCTGCGAGCGCGTTGGAACTTGCCACTCCTTCGGTTTGGTCGCCTAATGTGTAGAGTACGACGGAGACGTTTTAGTGATCAGAGTGAGGACCTTGAGGAGTTCAATCCGTCATGAATATCTCAGAGCTCCTATCTTCAGCTGCGGTCTCGAGCAGTCCGAGCAGCATACTTTCCATGGAGACTTCTGATGACAGCGATTTTCTAATCCGGGAGTCGAGCAGAATCAGTAGTGGCAGAGTGAAGGTGCTCTCCCTCGGTCGTGTGTTGAACATACTTCTCGATGCGGAGCCTAGAGAGCTCGAAAAAGTTCGTGGACAATTAAAGTCTAGTTCGCGACCGAAAAGTGAGCACTTCCCTTGTTTTTATTCCTTTGAAGTCTTTGCCTGGATAGTGTTGAGGAAAAAAGAAGGTGAACACTTCGTTGTGCAGCTACATTATTGAAATCTCCTCTTGACTCTTTTAAACAACTTGGTTTCCAGGCTCAGTTGGCAAAGCAGCCCTCTCTCTGATGGACCATGTTTTGGATATGCACTCCAGTGGCTCATCCGTGGAGCAAATCTTTGTTCCCGTTCTTGAGCATGTGAGTAAGTTTGTTCTGTCTCCGAATTATTTGAAAGGACAGTCGTCAGCCTTATTCTTTTTAAATCTTCTGAACCTGCTTGGCGGACCATTCCACAAGAATTTCTAATGTTACACTCTGGGAAATCAACTCTGCTGTATTGGGAGTTCAGAGTCCACAAGTGCAAGGTCCGCACTCTGATCGATGAATATCTCCGCTACTGACCCTTATGCAAGCCTCAGTTGTATCTCAAGTTGTCAGTACATTACTGAGATTTCCGATTAAGCATGCAGGCTGTGAAGTCAAAGGAGCATAGCAATCGCAAGCGATCTGTTTGTATCCTACAGTCGGCACTGGAAAGCGATGAAGTGGGTGTGATAGCTGCCAGCAGTCTGGCTACGATAATAGCGACTCAAGAATTTAACAACCGTGTGAAGCTGGGCTGGTGTGTGATTGTTCGTGAGGTGGTACAAGGCTGGTCAGGTTCGTGTTACGTGGAATGAATTGTGTCCCTCATATTTGCAAAGTGTGACAAAGTAAAAATTCTTGTGGCATCTATAGCCGAAATTGACGGTCTTATACATCATCTATAGATATGTGTGCTTCGTGAGGGTTGTGTCAATGGAGGATGGACTCTGTCGGATGGTCTCCAACCTCCCTCTCATTCGATTTGGCTGTCGACTGAATTTACAGGACAAAGATCTCCATATAGTCCTCTTCACAAAGAGATATTTGCAATACTCGTCTCGTGCGTACAAAGCCTCACAAACGTTGTGTGTGTAGCCAGGTATGCCCTTGTACTGCAAAAGGCATCCTCTGTACAGTTCATTTGTTAAATCTACAAGTTGCAGTGATGTTTTGAAAAAATAGCTATGTAAATAGTTATGTATTGGATTCTGTGGAGTAATTAATTGATCAAGAATGGAATATTTGCACTTTTACGAATCTGTCCTTGCTAGATTTGTTACCCTTGCTTTTCTGTCTGTCAACGTTTGTTTATCTTTTTGATTGGTCAGTGTCAAAGAGGACGGTAAATCGGTCCCAACCCGCCTGTCAATAGCTGCAGCGGATTGCATACTGGCAATCACAAAAGTACTTGCAGTGGGTACCAATTCCGAGCCCGAAGACAATCCAACGGAAAGTATCGACACGGGTCATCAAAGAAAACCACTTATTACTCCAATCGAGACCATTCCGAATGACGTCAGAAACGCTCATGTGGCACCCGACGACGTGAACAATACTCCTAGTACATCCAGCAGAGACTTATTCTGCACTTCTGAAAGGCGGAACATGGCACTGTGGGAGCAGCTGGATAACCTTGTCTCACTAGTCAATGTCCTATGCGAGGTGAGCATGTTCGCAATTTTCAGTTTACACAAATCTATAATCTTGAGCTGAGTATGACACCGGTGAACATGAGTCCTCGAGTCGCTGATTGAAAGAAGTTTTGAGCTGTCCGACCAGTTTTGGAGACGTTTTACCTTCGGTGCTGGACTTTGAAGCTACACAAGGCTAGCCACTTTCTGATGCGTTTTTGCTCGTGAAGAGCTGTCTATGATGTAGTAGATTGTAAGCTTCAAAGTTGTTTCTTCTAGTAATATAGTCTACATCAGATAAACTGATTGGCAAAGTTTTTTCCATTTGTTTTTACAGTGTTGACGTAGTACAGACTGACCGTAATCATTTTACATGTTTGTTTCCATTCGGGTTGTACAGCTTTGACTGACCATGATCTGCTTTTGCTCCATCTTAAAATGCTGAGCATTTACTTACGCCACGTCATTCAGGAGTATATGCTCACTACACATGTTATGTAATTTTGCAGTGGAATCACCGGAGCAGGCCTCTATTTGCCAAAGGCTTACAGCGCGTTCAAAAGAGGTTGCAGTCGCTAGCATCCTATCGTGATTCACTGCAACATCAAGGACCAGGTAAATCTCTTTTTCCGGATCTTTTATGTATTACCAAGTTATTCCCTCTGCAGTAGAAGGCAAGTATGAAAAGTATCCCATGAGTCGCAACAGAAATGTGTTGGGCATATGAGATCCATGATAGGCTAGCATATTCATTGTGGACTTGTTTTCTGACCTTTTAGGATTTTCTAGTGTGTTTGTAATATTCGAGGAACTTATGGATGGAAACTTTAATTTTTTGACGTGGTCCGAAGGCAAGAGACCTGTAAGAAGGCATACCTAATATTTGAGTTATTTCAGATATGGGTGATGTATCCATAGGAGCGGAAGTACTAGTAGCTTGCTGGCAGCATTACAGTGGTCTGCTTATGACAGAGGATAAAGCGTTACATAACCGTCCACATCCTGTTCTCCAACACTGGCTCGGTGCCCTTCAGGTTAGTTCAAAGGAGAAAGATTAAGGTCGTGAATAGGTTTTTAACATTCATTTCACAATCTTACCCGAGAAGTCAGTTTGGAATCATCAATTAAAATCTTTTGATATGAGCAACGTGCGCTGTTGTGTTGACTTCCTAGATGGCCTAATGCATAATAATGAAATGGAGACCTGTTGTATTGTAATTTGCTAAAACATAGACACGCTGCGAAAGGACATTTTTTCATGCAGTTTCTTTTGGGGATGTCAAACAGTACTATCTGGAAGAAACAGAGAAGTCGGATACGGAAGAAGATACGAGGAAATCACAGGAACTGAGGGCATATGCACTAGCCTGCGTAGCTTTGACATTAGGTAGATTAGATGCTCGTCGCCTAGAAGCGATATTGGAGGAATTTGAACCACAGTTGTTGAATCTTCTCTTTTCTCAGGTATTTCTTTTTGGCCATGCAGATTCCATGGACTTCTAGTGGTTTTACTTCTATCAAATTATTGTCTTTCAGTTTTGGAAACCGATTCTTGTTGCGCTTTTAAGAAATGTCAGATGTATTTTTTCAGAAATATGAATGATACCTCTACTTTTTCACGTGATAATTATTAGCCTAAAAGCTGCGCATTTAGCACCTTTACATGATCATAGCGGCAGTTTTCTCATAGTGATTGATATCAGCGAGTGGCAGATTAGTCAGTCTTTGCAAGGTGATGGCAGATTAAACGAAGTGAACAAAACATTTGTTAGTTGTGCACCCATGTTTTTCAGATGTTAGCATTGCCGTGTAACCTCTTGTGACACTTCCCTCATCGCCTACTCGCATTTTGATTATTTCTCAATTTCGGATACTGTTATTACGAACTGAGTTTTTCTCATGATTTGCATAATGCAGCTGCGAGGAGGAGATAACACCATAGTAGAGCTGGCAGTAGGTATTTTGAGAGCTATTTTGTTTCGACAAACTGTCTCTGCACCCGCCTCCGGTGCTGGGTCCTCTGTATCAAGATTAGAGACTGTGGTGCCAATGCTCATGGAGATGCTCGATACTCGAGACACCGCTGCGAGGGCAGTTGTTCTCCTTCTAGCAGAGTACTTTGCAGCGTATCCTCTACTGTGTTCTGCAAATTTGACTTAAGTCTGTCGTTGTGAAGGAACTTAGACGGTGTAGCAATTGTGAGACTTTTATGGTGGAAAATATGTACTGAAGTTCATGGTGGGTTCTATAGATGAATTGTGGAGTCCTACTTTCAAGCTTCGAGTTGACGTTCTGACTTTGCAAATATGTGAGGATATTCTTGACAGCTTAATCAGAAATCCCGAGGCTACAGAAGTGGAGAGCCTCTTCTCCCGTCTGGATGCTGAGGAGTCTTCGCAGCGCAGAAATGCTCTTGATGTTGTAACCGAGCTTGTCTCTATATGCACAAGAAAAGCCGACATGATAAACTCAAACTTCAGGTCCCCACTCTTTTCACTTTCACGCGCCTATGACATCAGTCTTGCTCAGTAGCACCCTTGCACTGTCCTAAGTTTTCCTTCCTTGATAAGGAGCTCTTTAGGCTGGAAATAACATACTTACTCAATTGGAACGAACTTTGTTCTGGCTTCGATTGATTGACAGGGTATTCATAATGTACATACCACTTTTGGCCTCTAATTTCTAAATAGTGGCCTCAAAAGGCCTCCCATATTTACTCGTCTTACCCGAGTTTTTGTTTTTGATGTACGGTAGCCAGACAATTGCTATGCATCTCTTCAAAAGGTTGGGAGATACCGAGCTTACGAATCGTGCAGAAGCGTCTGCCCTATTTGCGAGTCTGGGTATGTTGATTCAAGACTTCTCCAATATTCCAGTACCTTTACGAGTATAGGGGGTTGATGCTGGTCTGCTAATTTTGAGTCTTATGCTTCAAAACGAAAATTCTCTACAATAATGTGAATTGTAAGGAGGATCAAATCTACGAATGTGATGATAGAGTAAAGTGTGTCAAACTTCTTGTTTTGAAAGATGTGTGGCGTTATTAGTAGGAGTTTCACAAATTACCTGTGCAACCTCTAACACCAAATTTATGAATGTGCAGATCCTTCGTTTACACTGCCCACTCTGGTGAAACTTTTATACTCCTCAGATGGTCGAGTTCGGTCAGCTGCAAGTGCCAGCGTTCTATCTATTCTCATTCACAAACCCGGTCGTCGTGTGATTGAGGAGCTCCTTGACTGCGTCACGTAAGTTCTAGACGAAAGACATGATTTTGAGGGTCCAAATGCTGCAAAAACAACAACGAGACGATCTTTATTGTACCGAATTTCTAGAGCTATTGATGTTAGAGTTCAGGTTTCCGGTTGTGTGCTATGTTCCCTCAGTAACTAGTTGTGGCGCTATGCAGGAAACTCATGAAACAACACCCAATAAATACGGAGAATAGTGACGGAGGTGCAGTTGGTGGCACTAACAATTCAGGTATGACTTCGTGTTTCATCACTCAAGCAAGGCTGATGCCTCTTGGGTGTTGGTGCTGCTTTCTTCTCTCTTTTAGGTGCAGGGTCCTCATATGCAGCTTCTCCCCTCCCCTTGTCCCACGGATGTTTAAGGGGTTGATTCTTTAATGTCACAATTGAAAATCCTTTTCATTCGTGGCGACTCTATGCCTTCGAAAATTATCAAGCTTGGGCTCAGGACACATCTGCTTTGTCTCCTTGCTTGCAGACGGCTCTACCCCCGATGTTGAGCGAGTTATGCGGCTTGTCCCAGATTGGGCTTCAAAGGTAGGGTGCTTAGTCTCAGGCCCAAGATATAAGGCCGCTGCTCTTTATGGGCTTGTCATTCTATGGTTTGTATTCATTTCTCAAAAGTAAGGTCATCCAGCCTACCTCGAGTGTCCTTGAAGCAGTATTTGTCGGTGATCTATAAGTTTAGTCCGGTTTTGCCCTTACACTGCGTATCCTCTGATACCGGCATGCTTTCAGGTCGAAGATTGGAACGATATTATTCCGTTTCTCTTGAAGAAGACATTTGACGAGCCTTCGAATGCGGTCATGCCAAGATTTCTTAGTTCAATCAGTCGTGAACTCGCTGAAAATACTGATATTCTTTATCCTCTTCTTCTGAAGAAATTACAACAACAGTCACAGTAAGAATAGGCACATTCTTATTGTACAAGTGGGCAATTTATTTCATGCCGTTTAGGACCTACAGTTGACATGAGACTTGACCTTCTGATAGCCTTTTAGCAATATGGCTCTCAAACTGGACCTTATCACTATGACCTATTGTTTATGGTGCATACAATGCGCGACATCAAGTTCTCTCCATGGTTTTAACTAGATTATATGCCTACGTGCAGACTTACCGAGGCGGTTACATCTAAAGTCGGTGAAGATAATAGTTGGTCAATGGCTAATCACTTATTCGAACGACTGAGCCCTCTTCTAGTGTTACGGGTGCTTCCTCTTAGTGCCTTTAACGACATCAGCTGCAAGGAGCTTTATGGAGGATTGACTTCTGTTCTTGTCGGTAAGTTGTCATTGTGGGTACTTTACCGACTTTGATAGACACTTGACATTTGCTTCTCTAACTATTTTCCTTTGAACATTACATTGCTGATACCAAAAGACGTTCGAAACGCAGGGTGTCGACCTCTTCATTCGAATACGGCTGAATGTATCACCGATCATTTGCTGAACAGGTAATACGCTATAACTGTCTGCACTGTATTAGCATAAGAGATCATCCCCAGTTTTTGTTTCTTGGCTCCGCTTGTACAGTGGTCCGAGTACGTACACGTTGACAGTTGTTGACGATTTATTTAATTACAGTCTATCCAAGGCCCGCATATTATATATAGCATGAAAGAGTTTCTTGATCGTGTACAGAGCTTGTGGAGGCTCGGAGTTCGAAGATGTTCGGAGAGTTGCGTCTGAAATCACGGGACGGCTTGTTCCGGATGTACGTTTTGCAATAACTTAAAATGCTATGTGAGCATGTGTTGACAATCCGAAGTTGGTCTGCAAGTTTTCTACCGGAAGAACCCTCTTGGCTGCAAACATGCCGCTTGTTCTCTTATATCTACATGTGGAAGTGTGGTGGGACTATCTCTTGACATATTATGAACTCATGTATGCAACATTGTAAGATATCTTGGTTTAAATACGCGCGACAGATTCTTTTAAATACGACACTGATGCCTGCTAAGCATAAGTTGTTTTCGCTGCTTTATTAAGTCTCCTTTGGCTATGGCAAAGTAACTCTTTCCTGCTCTTCTGAGACAACCAGGAAGGGCCGTTCAGACTCACGTGCACAATCTTAGTCCCAATTAATCACCTCGTCGTTATCTCTTATCAGAAAAAGATGTTCATACAGGAAAATACTCAACTATAATTGCTGATCTGCAGATTATGTTACCACTGGTAACCGTACAGCTGGAGGATGCAACTAGATGCCAGGATTCTCGAACGGTTAAAGCTTGTCTCCTTGCTCTTTGCACAACATTAGTGGTAAGTTTCAATAAGTTAGATGTAACTGATGCTATCTCACCTCTTGGTTCATGGGAATTTAGTGAAGCAGCAGTTTTGAACCTCGTATTGCCACTTGATTATTTGGTGGGGGATTGCAGATAAGGAGTAAGGAGGTAGTGAACCATTCTTTGATGGGGCACATTCGAAAGATTCTTTCGTCTATTCTCCTTTGGCCCTGTGTAGTTGAGGATAAAGGTATTGAACTGTGGCTCGCTTTGGGAATATCTTTCTGTGAGTTAGAATTTTTTTCCACGAATCGTGCAAGTTTTCTCGCTTGTCCTTTTCTACCCTTCCCTCACTAACTTGCAAGTTATAACCAGGTGGCACCAATCTTTGAATGTTGCATTTCTTAAGTTCTTACAAGTTATCCAACTCATGTCGTGTGCTTTTTCTTTACGACCATGACAATGTCCATTATATCGAGCAAATATCGTATAAATCAATCTCTTTCTGATTAATCCTTTTTTGCCAACATCGGGTTCAGACTTGAGTCATAGATGCCAGAGTCGTAGGAATAGAATGGACCACTACGCTCAGTCTTCGGGACGTAGCACATAGTGTGTAGCTGGGGTTTTCCTGGCTATCGATGCCCATGCCATTACTGTTCTGAGTTCTTGTGGTCTGGTCCAACACAGCGTTCTCTGAGGTTGCAAAAGCGCAACATGGCTGCATTGACTGTTTGGCCTGGATGATATGCGCGGAGACGCAAAGCCTCAAGGAAGTTCTCGTAGCTGAAGAATCTTCCGCCTTCTCGACCGCGGGAGTAGAAAGTTACGCAGGAGAAGAGCATAAGACAGAAAAGCTCAGTAGCAAGGTGGAGACGAGTAGGCCATTGCTACAGATTGTCGAAGAGAGTTCTCTTGCAGAAGATCTCCACGAAGAACCTGAGAGTAAGCCTTCTCTTATTAAAGAGGGTATCCAGCTCATTCAAAAGCTTCCCGAAACAGAGCAGCTCAGAAGGACTGCTTTCCCTCGGAAGGAAGTAAGCCAGCTGAGCAGAGAGATAACGAAGGCGGAAATGGCTAAAAGGGAATTGTCAAATAAGAGAATACTAGTTCTCGATCGGCTGACAGAACTGGAGCAGCAAACTGAAGATAGATCTGGAGGTGAGTCTGGGTCCTCTGGTTGTAATGAGAGCTAGAAGCCCACTTCCCTTCTTTGTCATCTTGATCATTGGATTCTTGCTATATATTTTCAAACTCAGAACTTCAATCATCGTTAGCTAACGCCTCCTTCGAATCTCTTTCATACTGCAGACCCTGATTATGCCAGTGATTCATCTGATTCGCTCGAGGACGTTCCAGAATTAGAGAGGAACTATCAATTGGCTAAAGAAAAAGGGAGAAAAGGTACGCATCAGTCGTAGTGTCCTTTTAAATCATGATCTACGTGCGGAATTGTCCCCTACATATTGGCCTTTTACATGTGATGCCGACCGATTTACATGCCGATGTATGTGCAGAAAACCATGAGATCCCAGCCAAGTCAAATTTACTTCTAGAAGAGCTTCCTAATCTAGAACAAAGGGAGCAACGAGGGAAGGAGACCAGTCCACAAGGTTGGCACAACTACGTGTCTTGGAAATATATTTGCAGAATTAACTAGCATCTAGATTGAAGTTACTTTCTTCCTAGAGGCCAGATTTTCTTCTTGAACAAGGAAGACGTCTTTCTTCTTGCTTTTCATGCATATCTGTACGGACATGCCTGAGTGCAGGAGTTGCACGTCAAGGTTTTCAACCAAAGCTCTTAATAGAGGAAATTTCTTCGTCGGATTCTAGGGGAAGAAAGCTTCTGAAAGGTATGGCAGATTTTGGTGATCACCTTAGCATTATGGCCTCCTCACACCTTTTAAAAAAAATATTTTTTAATCTAGTAGCACGTTCTCAACTTTATAAATCTGAAGTCGTACGCCACGAGTGTGTTTGTGCAGGTGCGAATGTAAATGATAATCAGCATGCAGTACTTGTCGACGTCGTAGACTGCTTAACAGGGCATTCAAAGAAGTTACCATGGTCAACTTTGGATGGTGATGGTCTTGGAGGAGCAACAAGAGTTAACGGAATCGCTCCCATATCTTTCCGTATCTGTATGGCCAACGTCCTCATTAGCGCATGCCAGAAAGTGCCTTCAGCAGCTCGTACGATTGTGGCTGCAAAAATGATCCCACCGGTGGCAACATTCATTCAGGTTAGCACAAATCATTGACAGGTTTTTCTTTCAACGCACATGCAACGTTGTACTAACAAGTAAAATACAGGCAATGGATGAAACCATGGGTCTTGAGTAACAGTTGCGACCGAGACACATTTGTGGTTAGAAAACTGTGGAAGCAACTCTTTTCTGAGGCGAACTAAACTTCTGAAGTTTCCTTGAACAGATGAGTGGCGATTCGAAGATGAAGGCAGCATGTCTTCAAGTCCTGTTCACTGCAGTCTATCACCTGAAAGCACATGCAGTGATGCCGTTTGCTAGTCTTTTAATGACTATCTCAATTGGGGCTGTCCAATGTCGTGGACTTCTTGAGGTGATTTTCCTTTCAACATTTGGCTCAACCTGAACTAAAATAAGCTTTTCAAGTTTGATTTGTATCTTATGGGGGGTCCAGTGGTTGTAAGCGATCATTATTGTACTCCATAAAAGCAGTTGTCTTTACGGATACTTTGATGAATGCAATGAACGTTCTCCGTTCTCCGTTCTCCGCCACCAAAGCGATACTAACATGACGTCACTATTACTGACATTATATCCAACACTGTTGCAGGAGAGAATGGGAGGTGCAAAACTTCTAGCTTCGTTGCTAGCTAGTGAAGAAGTCATGGTTCGGGAATTGGCAACACATCTCCTCGACGCGCAAGTAGCTTTGTCGAGTATTTCGAGAATTGATAGTTCTCCTGAACTTAGAATGCTCTGCGAGAAACTGTTGTCATGCTTGTCAGTACCAGGCGATGGCGATGTGTAATTTCGTCCTGAGGCTCCGAGCAATTTTGTCCTGAAGTGAAGCAAAAGTAGTCCAGATTTTCATCCACATGTAAACACCTTTCAAATCTGGAGTAAATTGCAATCCGAAGTTGATGCTCCTATGACAGACATCGCGGAAGGGCAAAGTCTCACACGCGCATTATTTCTTCCTCTCCTGCTCAAACTAGAGGCTGTGTATTTCACATCTAAGTGACATTCACTTTGAAGTTGATTCATGAATATTAGCGCGCAGTTCTTGAAAAAAAACTGGAAGTTGCAATTATTTTTCGTGAGCAGTTAAATAAGTTGTTGATCAACATTGATCATATACATATATAATCAAAATCATATCAATTTCGTTGCTAGAGAAATAACAATTTCATAGAAATAATTATTTTAAAGTAACAAACCACACTCAAAGATGCATAATTTTTTTGGTGTAATTTATGTAGTGAACAATCTTTCTCATTGTACTAACGATAAATAATTAAAGACATCTAATCTTTTCACGCAAAGTAAATCAAAAAAACTTAAATTTTGGTACATGATTTCAAAGATTGGAAGAGATAGAATTTCAACAAGCTTTTTGAAATTTTGCTAATATAAATAAACTCAATTCATATCACTAACATGTACAATGATTGTTTTACGAGTTTTTATGTATCAAATGTTAAAATATTTTTAACAACCTTATGGATTGTTAATCCCATAAATCTAAATAATATAGATGAATTTAACCTCAATAGTTTTCATCTTAAATAATTTTCATTTTCATCTCAAGTAATTGAAGATATCACATATGTGACATATTTATAAATATTGAAATGTAATCATTGATTATATGTTGATTTTATTTTTTTATCATGTTTTTCCCAAATTAAAACAACCAAACTAGTTCACCAATCAAAGCTACAAATAATAATTTAAACTCCACACATTGTGAAATCTTAGAATTTTTATTTACGACTATGAAAATTGATCTGAAACATAAAATTTTATCCGTGATTTCAAATGCTGACGGACCTAGATTTCCAATAATTTTTTAGAGATAAAAAAAAAATAAGCAAAAAAAAGATGCAACTTGATCAAAAGTAGGAGAAATTAATAAACTTAAAATTTCATGTTTCTTAGAATATAATAGCAAGTTACTTTCATGATATGAATATATACTGTTTGAAGTATGTATACTCGAATGTTGATGAAGGCCAAACATGATAATGACAATAAGAAAAAAGTTACTAGTTTATGAGTAATTCACACACTATATATTCATGCACATTATGATTACAAAAAGATGTGTTGAATGTTACATCGGTGTAAGTCTTTTGCAGCAAACATAATGTTGTAAAGAAAATTGTGTTGCCTACATAAGCTTGATTAGTGTGAAGTCAAGCCAAAATTAGAAGAACAAAAGTGCTCTTGGTTCAATGAAAGTTTAGAGAGGATTAGAATTTACCAAGATTTTTTAAACTTAAAGCTCTCTCCTTAAATTCAACCAATGCAGATTTTTTTCAACGAAGCAGAAGGTTTGCTAGATAAGATGACAAGTATCATTGATGGTGTTACATGGGAAACACTTGGAAAAGTAGCCATGGATACTATAAGAGCTTATAACATAGTGGAGTAATCACGTTGAAAAAATGATGATAATATGGAAGCCGTGTAACAACATACAGAAAATAATGTATCACCAAGTAGATTTCATGGAAAATCTATACACCTTGCTCTGAATGAAATGTGCATCACCAACGAAATATTTAGTGTAATAGGATTTTTAGCAAAAAAATGGGAAGATGAAAGCCGTTACATCTCTAGGAAATGGTGAAAACAGGGTCATTTTCCATTCGTTGGAAAGAAGAAGAGACTTAAACCTTCAAGTAGGAGAGGTTGATAAGGTCCACGATAAGGTTCCGATTTTTGTGAGGCTCGGCGAAAAAATAAATTCGAAATATACACACAAAACGTAAATTTTTTGAATTTGTGAATGCGGCATTGAAAAAAAGAGAGATAACAGTAATTACGCCAAGAATCGACGGTCTTCCTTTCATACATTTCTAAGAACTCAAGGATTGAGTTGAAAATTAGCAAAATGAGTACTATCTTCAAGAATATTAACCTCGGAACAAAGGAAAAAGATTGCTAGATGAGCACAATGAAGTTCAGCGAAACAAAAGGTGGCAAAATTGGGCTCAGGAGTAAAGTGAATTTTCGAATTTGGACACTTATGATTACAAATAGCAAGAACATATGAAGTTGAAGAGTAAAGTATGAAATAATTTCTGTTGTATTCAGTCTTGTTAAGTCAGAAATGTGCGAGTATATACATCCAAGTTGTGTAGATGATGAAGTTTTCACTTGTAAACCGTATAGAGACTAGTGATGAGTATGTATCTAACCAGAGTATAGTGAAACCTCCATATAAGGTACACCCCATTTACCCCATTTTTTTAGTTTTGTAACTTATGGAGTGGGTGTACCTTATATGGAATACTCTAACCCTAAAACCCTAGGTGTCTAGTAGTGAAAAGGAATAATCAGCTAGAATTTATTGGAAATATTGCTCAATCAAAAATTGTTATAAAGTTGAGAGATAAAGAGATTGAATTTTGGCCTTCAAACCCAACAAATCTATTTCTTCGCTAAAGAGTGAGTTGGCTTTGGTAAAAGCGATTGAATCAGATACCATTTCTTTTGCCTACACAAAGCTAATCACGTTTGGTTGTTGGGGCTCAATGTCTGCAGTTTTTGATGTGATTTCTTCCATTTCATCTTCACTGCCAACGCCAATAAATTCGTCGATTAACTGTACGATGAGGTTTGCTTCTACCTAAGCATCACATTCTGGTAGATGCTTCTCAAAGACAATATTGTATCTGTCCAGGCCGATTCTTTCAACTACCAAAGAAAGCTCTCGTTCTTGCTCCAAGATTTCTTTAGTTTCTTGCTCTTGGAAAGTGGGAATAACAAATCCACATTGTGCAAAACATTTTTTGATAGTCTTCGCCTTGACAAGATCCTATGACTTATCCACAAACTTGATCGCGTAAAAAATCGTCAACTATTTTGCAAGATCTGATGCATGAACCAAAGAATCTTCCATTAGGTCGAGCAATAAAACACTTCAAACTTCTGTGATAAAGCTTTCAAGCTTCTGACAATGCCAGCATCAAGAGGCTGTATGACTGATGTGATATTGGGCGGAAAAAAGTTCGATGTTAGTCAGTTTGATAGCTTTATCAACGATATGAACATGAACGTTATTTAGAAAGAGCAAAATCTTTTGACCTTATCGTTTGAAGAACTCATCTAGTTCTTTCAAATAAATATTGAATAGTGGATTAGTCATCCACGCCTTTCCACTGCTCAAATACTTGGCCTTGAATTTGCTTATGTCGACACCTCGAAAAGAATGAGGATTCTTTGACTTGCCGATTATTCAAGGTGGGAGTTTTTTGCCCATAGCTAAGCAAGTTAGAGCCGCAGTAACTCTGTCTTTGCGTTGCTTTCCTCCTTCACATGAATCAGCGACGTGGTTAATTGTTGAATCAGATAAGGCTCGAAGAAAAAGCCTGTCTCATCCATATTAAACACATTCTTGAGATCATAGCCTGCTAACAATGATTGCAATGACGTCTTTCATTGTTTGGCGCCTATAAGATCTACATTTCCTGATTCTTCACAAATCTTGTACGATTTCACATTGTTACTCTGCTTCCACTTTTGCAGCCAGTCTTCAAATGCAGAAAATACTGTGACATCATCTCCCAAACGACTAGCGATTTGTTTTGCTTTCTCTTGCAAAATGAGTCCACTTATCGGATAGCCACGCGACCTTGCTGTTGAAAACCATCTCCATAGAATGACATTGATGTCAGTATGTTAAACAATTCTGGCTTTAGAGAGTGCCTGATCGCTCTTTGCTTCTTTCAACAATGATATTCTGTTCTGCTTTGCTGCTTGAACGGTTCCTTTGGATAAAGAAAACTTGTCAGCTATTGCTCTGATGCTGTGGCCATCGTCAAGGTACTTGATGATGGCAAGCTTGGTGCTCAAGTCGACCAGCTTTTCTTTCTTCTTGTCAAACATCACGTTCGACATCTAGTATGGTTAGTTTTCTTGCTTCGGAAGCGGCTATGATTCAGAATGACTCTCGATTGGAGTTATTGTACGTGCCCAAGGGATTGAGTGCCTCATCCACAAGAAGCATCCAATCTGAAGATAGAGGGTGTACCTTGTATAGAGCTGCGTGGCTACTCCGTGGCCGACCAAGGAAGTACTTTGCGTTCTAAACAAAGGTGTACTTTTTATAGAGAGGTTTTATTTAGGTAAACACATAGGTTTGCAATTCCTACAAAAAAAAATACCATATACGGAGGTGTACATTATATGACGTGTATCTTACACGGAGGTTTCATTGTATAATTTAATATAATATAGAGCTTCAAAAATTCATATGTATTTTACTGTATGAAAATTTCATCAAATCAAATTGCAAACTCTCGCAATCTACTCCACTTCACTGATAATCTTGCCTTGATTTTTTGTGCTCACTTTTTTCTTTGGATCAATTCTTTGTTTGAAATTGCAAAGCTGCAACATTTGTCCAGCTAAAGACACACAATATCTTTTGTTTCTTCAGTTTTCTCTAGGTTTGATCAATTGAGAGATGATGAGACGTGGAATAGCTTCAAACAATGCTACACAATATTTGCCAAAGGTTATGCCCATGCATGCACTCATGACGATGCGAATTGGCAATTTTAAAGATTGCACTCAACATGTACAGACCGACTGATCCATTGATGGCAAGTGATACCTACTCGATAAATGGAACAATTGTTTGCTTCACCGATGTATATTTGTTGATGCGGCATATTTAAAACTTGTTGCTTAACGCATTTATAATAACAATAATTGTAATACAAAGACTGTGAATAAGTTTGACAAAAGTTTTGAGAATAGTTGACAATACTTTACGATGCTAGGCTCAACCTGAATATGATATGGCTGATCACAGATCAAAATCTATTACAATAACAAATCATAAATTTGCACATGATGGTCTTGTAATTGTAATATTGGTAGAGACTACCTCAGTTAGCCACGATCTACTCTGTCGATCGCACATTACTCAACGGGATAATGATTCTCATCAATTTTGAATTACAAAGTATCA